CTTAGACTACTAGTTTTGCAATGTTTAATTTTCTCTGTACGTACAAGGAAATCAAACATTCCAAAATTTTAGTGCACGTGAAATTTGGTGGCACTTAGACAAAAGGGTGCCCCGTTCACCCGGTAGCAATTTGTAGTCCGTCCAACATGAACATGTTGGACGTAGAAGAGGACAGAATTTCAAGCCACACGTGAAGGCTACTTCCATCTGAGTGACTTAGAATGGGAGGTAGTCGGCCGCATAAGTGTACTCATGGGCGAACCCGCCATCAGTGGCATGTTGGAGCCTTTAAACAGAGACCAGCAAAATGCTGCTATCAACAAGTTCCTACAAGAATAACTTGCTGTCGAAAGACGGAAGATAGCCTTGCTATAACAGTAAGGCTCTCACCAGACGATGGGCGCGTCGACGCTCTTGCGTCGACTCGAAACCTTGTAGATTGACATCTCAAGGTATACATGGGCCGATGAAGATTCTCTTTTGAGATGGTTCGTCGAGCTAGAAGACGTCATCAGGGCCCGTCCAATGGACGTTGACGAGATGCAAGTTACCTTCGCCCAGTCAAATTTGACAGGACGAGCAAGGACTTGAGCCTTAGGGCTCAAGCTTTACGACCCAAACGTGTTCAAGGCATTAGATACCTTCAAGTCTTGGCTCAAAGAGACGTTTGAGCCGCACGAGAGCCGAGGCCAAAGCACGATCTGCACCCTCGAGGCTAAAGCAAGGTAAGCGTGACGTGCACGCAAATGCACAGAACCTACGATACCTTGCGAGTAGCGTCACGGAAAACCCTGTTGATGAGCACACACTAATCAAGGTATTCATCTACGGCCTTGTGGATGGGCCGGTGAAGACCTACATGTTCCAAGAGAACTTCCATACGCTGGAAAGGCGATAGCGTCTGCGGAACAAGAAGACTTCAGCCTGAGACAGTCTCAGGATAACATGTCCAACTATCGTCCGACGAGACGACAGGAAACAGGAGGCCCCGAAGCAATGGACCTCTGTTACATCGAGAGCGAGAACTCTCGCTCTCTGAGTCACAAGCGAACGGCTAGATTCCATCGCTGTCAGATGATTGGGCACTACGCTCATGAGTGTAGTGTCCCGAGCACTGCAACACGTCCAAAGACAGGACGTGATGACCACCGTTAACCAAGGAAAGGTCCAAGGCGTGGGTCCGACCATGTCGCTAAACTACGACAGCAAGTCGGACCGCCAAAAAACGGACAGGGTCAGTAGAGGAGGAGCGCCCGGCTGATCCAGTAACGTCAAGATAATTTGCAGGACTCTTGACGAAGATTGCTCCTAGCACACAATAGCTGTGTGTTACTGCCCTTAGTGATGAGGAGTCTCTAATCACTTTGAAGATCGAAGTGACAAGTGGAACGTCACTTCGCGCTCTAGTTGACTGTGGTGCGTCGAACAGTTTCATTCGACACCAGTCGCTAGAATGTAGTAGACTCAACTATGATGAGCGAGAGTTCCCTCCAACGAGAATGACGGTGTGCCTTGCTACAGGCGCATCCGTAACATTGAATAAACGAGTAGTGGGAATCCACAACACTCTAGAAAGAAAGCAGTACGATGATGACTTCATCGTACTGGATTTGGATGACAAATTCAATGTCACCCTTGGTCTGCCATGGCTTAGAAAGTACCGGCCATGGGATAGCTGGCAGCATCGATCCGTGAAGATGCCTGCCGTTTTTTCATCAGATGGCCATCTGTTGGACGTCTTGCACCGTCCACAAGCGTGTGGATGTACTACGAGTGAGTGCGATGTCCTCACTTGTGGTACGGTCGTTACTGCACACGATCACAGCGTAAAAGGCCACTGCACTGTGGAACCAGCTTCCAGCACCTGTGTAGAGACACAGGCTGCTCCGAAGGTTCACCACTCGAAGAGATCGAGTGGACTGGAAGACGGATGCACACCAAGAAGGGTGCATCCGAGAAGAGAGATTAGTGTTGTTCAGGATGAACAACACGTTGAAGCGAGATCGATTTTTAGAGAGTCGATCGCAAAGCAAGCCCGATCAACTGAAAGAGAGTCGATCGAAAAGGACGTGACTGTGGTAGTATAACCACAGTCAACGCACGTATTGGAAAGAAGTTCCAGCGTTCCTGAGAGTGATAACTTCCGAGAGAGTTATGTTGAGGGTGGGGATCCCCAACCACCTGCGGATGTGTTATCCGAGGAAAGCACCGAGTCATTGAATGTCTTGGTGCATGACGGATCAAGTGTAGGCGCTTACACACTTGATCTGGTTACGACCCCGAAGTCAGCTTCGGAAGTGGTCAAGTTTCCAATGCTAGAATATACAAAATTCTTGCGATATCTGCTTAAAGACAAGATCAAACAGATCTGCGTACTCGTCACAGAGGACGGGTACGTCGCCAATATTCGGTCGGTACAAGTGTTTGCTGAGAATGAATGGGTTCCCAGTAGCTCGTCAATGGACGAGGGTGTCCTCGGTGAGAAAACCAGGATTGAGCGAAAGACGTCTGAATCTTGGGAGTCTTTGAAGACAAATTCTTTGTTTGATTGTTTGCTCAAATTTAGGGATGTTATTCCTGAAACCGTGCCATGCGATCTGTCTAAGGAAAAAGGCACTCGGCATGAGATCGAACTGAAACCCGGTTCAAAGTACTGTGTCATGAAGCAGTGGCCACTGCCTCGTGAACAGGTCACAGCGATCGACAAATTATTTGCCCATCGCTTGGCGGCTGGTCATGTGAGGGAATCAACATCCCCACACGGCTCTCCGACCTTCTGCGTGCGAATGGCCACAGGAGGGTGGCGGATAGTGCACGCGTTCAACAAATTGAACACTGCGACGGTACCGGCTCAAACGCCGACACCGAGGAAGTACGTAATCATAGATGATATGGCAAAAAGTGTCATCTTTTTGTCCATGGATCTGATGGATGGATTCTATTAGATCCTCATGCGTGAACGGAATGTCCCTTACACATCAGTGATCACCCCCAGTGGTATGCTCTGGGAGTGGCTAGTGATGCCACAGGAGCTAAGTAACGCCCTTGCAACGTTTAACAGATGTGTTACGAATCTGTTGCGATCGGTACACGATTTCGCACCGAGTTACTTTGACGACAGCTTCGTCCATATCCACGTTGTGGATGGAAAGACGAACGTGGAGATTCATAGAATCCACATCCGGAAGGTTATTACACTAATGCGAGATCATAAGTTGTTCGCGAACCTCAAGAAAGTGTATATTCGCAGCCAACGAAATATCACTTCTTGGCTGCATCGTGGGTAAAAACGGTGTACGCCCTGATCCGGAAAAGATCAAGGTGGTTAGCGAATGGCCTGTGACACTCGACATCAAGGGACTTCGAAAGTTCCTTGGCTTGGCGGCGTACTTGCACAAGCACTCGCGCAACTACGCCAAGAATTACCGTACATCTCTCTCGTCTGCTAAAGAAAAACGAGAGGCGGTCACGGAGTGCTGAGTGCCAGCACTCCTTCTAAGGTGTCAAGAAAAGCTTGGTGCAATCGCCTGTGTTGGCGATTGCAGATCAGGACATACCATTTTTGTGGTCTGTGACGCCAGCGATTTCGCAATCGGTTGCGCGTTAATGCAGTACGACTTAGACGGCGTTGAGCGCGTCGTCTGTTATCAATCGCGTCAGGTGCAAACAGCTGAGCGTAATTACCCGGTGCATGACAAGGAACGCCTTGCCATGAATTATGCACTGGCCAAGTTTCGGGTAGATCTCTTAGTAGATAGTCCCTTCATCGTTTATACCGACCATGCGTCGTACGCACAGCCGTAAACAATCCACACCTCTCGCACCGAATGGAGAGGTGGCTGTCTTTCTTCGAGGAGTACAACTTCTCAGTCAATTATAAACCGGGAAGCCTTAATGTCGTCGCTGATGCTCTTTCGCGTCGGCCCGATGTCGAGCCGACTGCTCAACCCAACAGCAGGGGTGATCCCACTGTTGCAACACTATCAGTGAGTGTTCCGTCGTCGAATCTGCTCGACGAAGTGCGAAGAGCATACGCAGAAGATGAGTCTCTTCTGCAATTGATGGATCAAGTATCTAATCCATGCACTTAAGCTTTGAAAAGCTTATCGTCTCAATACCGCTCTTCAACCGAACGGTATTCTGTTCGTGATGGACTGCTGTACTATACAGCAGTCAACGGCGACACACCTCGTGTCGTCGTTCCCGCTCATAATGATTTGTGATTGCACATCATGTATGAGTGTCACGTTCCCCCAACAAGTGGGTATCGCGGTAGAGAAAAGACTTACCCCACGGTAAGCCGTATCTTCTACTGCCCCCGCCAATAAAGGTTTGTGCGCAAATACATTCGCGCTTGTGAAGTCTGTCAACGGGTGAAGCCTAGTCCTTCATCCCGCGCACCCTTGCAGCCTCTACCGATTTTGGCAGAGTGTTGATTGCCCGTATTGATGGACTTTGTTTTTGGGTTTCCCAAAGACGTTCACGAGAATACTGCTATTCTTGTGTTTGTTGATCGGTTCAGCAAGATGGTACATATTGTTGCTGTACCGGAGTCAATCACAGCCCAGGGTTGTGCTCGTGTCTTCATCGATACTATCTTCCGACTTCATGAGTTACCCTGTGAACTCGTGTCTGATAGTGACTTTTGTTTCACAGCGAAGTTATGGCAATCCGTGTTGTGTTCACTTGTAATGCGTTTGACGATGTCGACCTCTGACCATCTGTTTTAGGATGGTCAGAAAAAATTCTGCAACCGCGTCCACATAAAGATACTTCGAGGGTATATCCATTCGTATTAAGAGTTGAAGCGAACTCTTGCCGCGCCATCAACAACTCGGTGCATGCATCGACAACGCATACACCGTTCTTCGTGAATGGCCTACGCCATCCACGTTTACCCGCCTTCTTTGAGTGTACTCTACTTTAAGGGGGGGTGGACTCGCTCGAATCAAATCCGATCTGGTTCTTGCTCATCTTCCGTCGGCAATGGTGTCGGCGTGATGAATGCCTACATCGATCACATCGACACCGATGACGATGATGAAGACGATGTTGGTGTATTCATCATCGCCGGCGACTGCTGCAGTGAGGACGATGACACCCTCACTGGTGAAGACAAAGTTCTTTCAGCAGTGCACACGAAGCGCACTGCTGTTGACAAGGATGAATCAGCAGAGGAATTTCTACTGACTCGCGAAGCGGTTGTCCGCTTCGTTCAAGACTTTATTGCAGATGCACTGGACAGACGGAAAAGAACGCAGACAAACATAGAAGAGCAAAGGTTCTTTCGTTTGATGAAGGAGACCTAGTTTAACTGTCTACAGTAAATCTACCGAAACATGCAGTGACAAACGTGGGCAGCAGTAAATTACTACCCAAGCTTATCGGTCCATTTCGTGTGTTGCGCCGCATGGTCAACGCATACTCGATTGAACCTCTCGTATAATGCGTACGCATCCTACGTTTTTCGTTGGACTACTCTGCTCGTACTATCAGTACGAGCCCGTTTCGAGATGCGAAGAACACCTCCGCGGTCGAGAGCCGAGATCACCTTTGAGTGGTCCTGTTTTAACGAGCCATTCTGGTCGACTAGCGAAGCAACCTAACATTATTGTAGCGGAGCTACACAGCTCCTTAAGTCAGAGGAAGACTTAACGCTCTACGAGCAACTTAGTTCCAAAGAACTAACGACTTTACGAGTCAGCAAGCTTTACAGCTTCAGATCCCTGTTCCAGGGGACCTAACGATTCAGTGAATCGACAGCACTTAGTGCTCAAGAGTAGCTACCTCAAGGAGGTGTTGCTAACTCTTAGTGATCAGAGATCAACGATCAAGACGGCTCGCAAGCCACGCGTCTTTCAGATCAAAATGGGAACTGATTTTATTTAATGTTAAAGCCTATAGAATATCTTAATCCTACTCAAAGATCTTTCGTATCTAATGGCTGACACTTGTCAGCCCCTACAAACCGATAAGATATTCTATATCACCTTCACAGAAGCGAACCCTCAGGTGTGTAACACCTCTGGTACAAAGTACCATGATTTCGTGCAACCCCGTTACACCCTCCCCCACCAGACTGACGTTTACCCAAAACGTCAATCGAACTCGTATTCTCAGCGAGAACAGTGCGCGTACGGTGAACCTCACGGTAACGTACGCTCTAGCACGATGTCCTCATCACCAAACGAGTCAAAGGCTCTGTGTGACTACCTCGGAATAGAGGAAGAGGTGGACTATGGTAGCGATACCAGTGTCCGCGGTGACACAGGGACAACGTCCGGCTCACTGATGCCTGAGGCACAACTTTCGAACACCCCAAATCCGTTCGCTGAACGTGGAGGTGCGAGCGCGCCGCCAGCGCAGCGTGCAGCATCTGGGTTTGATGAGACTATCATCGCGAACCCGCTCGATGAGCAACAACAACTGCTTGTTCAAAGAGAACAAAACGCTCAGCGTTATGCACAGATGACTGCAACCCTTGAACGCCAGCGTGATTATGTGTTCACCCCACCCAGTGTGGAGGAACGTCTGCGTCAAGCGGCCGGCCAAACATTGGCAACGTGGGTCATTGGCCATGGGCCTAAGACTCCTGAGGAGGTGGTGAGCTGCCAGGCACTTCGTGAGAGGTACCTGGAGCCGCACCTAACGACTCAAAGTCAATACAAGGCACGCCTTGACATGCAAGCACGTGGTGCACCAGTTCCACCGATGAAGGGTATACCCATTCTCCTGCTCGCAGGCGAAACAGCGAGTGAAGAAGACGATGCCTTTGTTCACTGGGTGCACTATGTGCGTCGCCTCAGCAACATTTTTGCTCTAAGGGCTAGTGCCCATGCGGCGGATGTGCGTCTCGAACGCAAGCTTCGGTATGATTATGCCAAGCTTAAGGCCAGAGGCCAATTGCGCAAGCGCACGCGCTATGCTTCGGCTACTAAGGTAGCCGCGAGTGCTGGTCAGTCTGTGACCAACAACCCGCCAACCCGCACCACTAGTGGTGGTGAACGGCCTCGGCCTCGCGATGACCATGGCCACGATGCTCAAAAGCCTCCAAAGCATATGGGCAGTCTTGCCGAAGGGGTACCTCAAATTCCCATGAGTTTTCAGACTCAGGGTACCCACGCCACTTTACCAGATACTGATATTGGCCCTGACGACGACGTCGTTTCAGTAGTCTCTCGACATGGAATTGACGACACCCATGCTCATCGAGCAACGTCGGTGGCGGCCGGTGTACCGGTGGAGGCCCACGAGAAATTGGTTCTCGAAGTGAAGGGTCTTCAAGCGGCCTTGGGTAAGTCCCAGTGCATGCTGGATGCGATGCAAAACCGCCTTCAGGCGATGGAGCAAGCTCAAACTCGGAGCGAGGCTCAGTTGGACTTGCTGATTCGTCTACAGCAATCCGGGGCGGTGCCCTTGTCGTCGGCGCAAGCGCCTCCAAGTTCACATGGGAAGGATCCCGGTACGGCTTAAGTAAGCCTACGTAGAACACTGGATGTGTGCGCAATTTGCGTGGGAGGTTTAGCGTATACGCAAGTCCCCTTTGGCCGTGACCGTGAACGGTCCAATAAAGCGTGGACGCAACTTTGTCTTAAAGACAGCAGACACTACATTTGTAGGTAGATTTTTAGCATTGAGTAGTACTTGGTCTCCGACCTCATAACGTTCAATACAATTTCTGCTTTTGGCATCAGCTTGTTGTTTTTGGGTATCTTGGCTATCAGCCATTGCGTCACGCACATGTCTTAGGACATTTAATCGCGTTGCGAGAAACTCGCTTACCTGTTTTTGAACAGTAGCAGGGCTGATATCAGCAAGCCGATCGGCAACCTCTCCCCCCACCAAGCCCTGATTCACGTAGTGATAGCGTTAACGGAACGCGAGGGTGAGTGAGACCGTTTATATAGAACGGAGTAAAGCCTGTTGAGGCATGAACAGCGTTATTCAATGCAAACTCAACAACAGGGAGCATTGAGCTCCAACGCCTAGGCGTATCAGCGCAAATACTGCGCAAAATGTCGTTGATGACGCGGTTTACACGCTCAGTTTGACCGTCGGTCTGCGGATGATCCGGCGTGACATTTCCAATCGAGTGCCAAGCACCTTGAAGATAGACTTCCAAAACTTCCCAGTGAAGCGGGGGTCTCTATCAGAGATAATTGCCACAGGCAAGCCATGTTGGCGAAACACACGGTCGATAAACAGCTTTGCTGTACCTTCCGCATCGATGCTATCCGGCACAGCCGCTAAGTGAGCCATCTTGCTCAATCGGTCAACAAAGACCACAATACCAGTGTTGCCTTCCGAATCTTTCGGTAGGCCAAACACAAAATCCATGCTCATGGACTCCCAACAACCACTGGGTACTGGCAAACTAGCCAGCGGCGCCGCCGCATGTGCCGAGGGTTTTACCCGTTGACACGTTTCGCACGTACGCACATAGGTGCGCACCCACTTATAAAGTTTGGGCCACCAATAACTTTGGCTCACCGAGCTATAAGTCTTCTCACGACCGAGATGACCACTTAAAGCAGTATCATGTGCCTCATAGAGGATCCGATACTTTAATTCCTCATTATGAGGTACTACGATACGAGGGTTGTCCTCAATATCCGTGCGATAGCACAATAGGCCATTATCGATGGAATATCGATGTAGCCTCGCACGTAAACGTGCCGACAATTCTATGTCCGAGTCTTTAAACTCATTGCTCCCAAGAGCACGTAGCAAAGCTACACACTGATCGTCCTTGGCATATGCCGCACGAATTAAGTCAGGGACTGACGACGACAGGGTCGTAACATGAGCAAGCTCATAGTCAGGTCGACGCGATAGCGCATCAGCCAAAGCGTTTTGCTTACCTGGCTTGTACTTCACCTCGAAGTTATATTCGGCAAAGAAAGATAGCCAACGAGCCATTCTCTGTGAGAGATGAGGCGACTGTGTCGCAGTGCGCAATGACGCATGATCGGTATAGATCACAAATGGCTTCGAGCCAAGCAGATGGACTCTGAATTTGACAAGAGCGTACTTCATAGCAAGTAGCTCTTTGTCATGAACAGGATAGTTCTTTTCAGCAGCTTTCAGCTGTCGAGATTCAAATGCGATGACGCGTTCGCGTCCGTCGACATCTGTTTGTAACAGAGCACTGCCTATGGCAAAGTCAGATGCGTCACAGACGACACTGAAAGGCCGACCAGAATCGGGCAAAGCCAAAATTGGCGCATGGAGGAGACTCTCCTTAACTGCTTCAAAAGCATTATGTTCGGTGTTACCCCAACACCAACCCACATCCTTTTTAAGGAGATTGGACAATGGCCGAGCCATATCTGCGTAATTTGCACTATACTTATGTAAGTAATTGGCAAGGCCAAGCCATTTACGCAAGTCCTTTTGGTTCTTGGGGACTGGCCAATCGACTATGGCTTTTACCTTAGCGGGATCCGCTCGAAGGCCTCGCTTCCCAATGAAGCACCCTAGAAAGGGAATCTCTTCTGCACCAAAGATGCACTTCGATGCGTTCGCATACAGCTTATTCGTTCGCATGCACTCGAGCACAGCTCGTAAATGATCAATGTGGTTATCCACATCTGATCGCCCATTCATTGCACGACTATGGACAAAAATGTCATCAAAGTACGTTTGTGCATAGCCTCGATGAGGTCTGAATAGTTGCGTTACCAACCGGTTAAACGTAGCCGGGGCGTTAGATAGCCCTTGCGGCATAACGAGCCACTCCCAAAGCATACCGCTCGGAGTACTCACCGCTGTTAGCGGAATATCGCTTGCTCGCATGAGCAGTTGGTAATAACCATCGACTAAGTCGAGTGCACTGTACAGTGTACATCCCGCCATATTGTTCTGAAGAACATCCTTTCGAGGAATAGGCGTCTGCGCCGGTATAGTAGCTGCATTAAGCTTATTGTAAGCATGCACAATACGCCACTTGCCATTTGGCTTTTTGACACAAAATGTCGGTGTTGAGTGGGGAGACTTGCTCTCACGAACCATCCCAGCCGCGTGCTTAGCACGAAAGAAATCGTCAATGACGTCGCACTGTTCTTTAGGCAAAGGCCACTGCCGTGTTACACAGTATTTAGTTCCAGGAACCAAGTCAATCTCATGACGTACACCTCTATCGGGAGGTAAGGCAGAAGGTGGGTTGTGACACACCACATCTTGAAATTCCTTGACTAAAGGATAGAACGGATCCGACGGATCTTTAAGGATCGAAGATCCACTTCGTGCACTAAGTGCCGCCTTTGTATCCTCTAGGACAGACTCATCCATTAACGAGGAAGAGTTCAAC